TTGTCATTTATTGAGAATTTAATTCTCGATCGATCGGCATCGCCTTCAATCATTCATCTCAATTAGGGTGGTAGAAATGAATTTTCCAATCAGGGGAGTCTCTCCGAGCTCACTCGACGTCGGAGAGCCGTTCGGGGTTTCTCCGCGCTTTTGAAAATTCATTCCTCCGCTCCTAACGGAGATTAAGAAATGAAACCGATGTCATTTATTAAAAATACAATGGTCGATCAGTAGGCTTTGGTTTCATTTCTACATCTCAATTAGGGAGGGGAGAAATTAATTTTTGAATGAGAAGAACTTGTCCGGAGTTACTGCACGATTTTAAAATTCATTCCTCCTCTCCTAATAGAAATTAAGCAATGAAACCGCTGTCATTTATTTAGAACATAATTCTCCATCGATCGATATTGCTTTCATTCTTTCATCGTAATTAGGGGGGGAGAAATGACTTTTCCAATTGGGGGAGGCCCTCCGAAGAGCCGTTCGGGGTTACTCTGCGCTTTTGAAAATTCATTCCTCCGCTCCTACGTGAGATTAAGGAATAAAACCGCTGTCATTCATTGAGAATTTAATTCTCGATCGATCGGCGTCGGTTTCATTCCCTTCTCTCAATTAGGGGGGGGGGGAGAAATGAATTTTCCAATCGGGGGAGCCCCTCCGGGCTCACCGTTCGAGGTTTCTCCGCGCTTTTGAAAATTTATTCCTCCGTTCCTATCTGAGATTAAGAAATGACACCGATGTCATTTAATAAAAATATAATTCTCAATCGGTAAGCTTTGGTTTCATTCCTTCATCTCAATTAGGGAGGCGAGAAATTGATTTTTGAATGAGAAGAACTTGTCCGGAGTTACTGCACGCTTTGAAAATTCATTCCTCCTCTCCTAATAAAGATTAAGCAATGAAACCGCTGTAATTTATTGAGAATATAATTCTCCATCGATAGATATTGCTTTCATTCTTTCATCGTAATTGGGGGGGGGAGAAATGAATTTCCCTATCGGAGGAGCCCCTCCGGTTAGTCCGCACTTTTGAAAATTCATTCCTCCGCTCCTACTTGAGTAGGATAGAATAGAATTTCCCGAAGATTCCAAAAAGCTTCATTGTTCTTCGTGCATGAAAAATGGGGATCTTCGGGAAACTCCTTGCGATCACAAGACTTTTACCGATTTATTTTTCTCCGTGTGACGTCCGTATAGAAGATCAAAAAATCAATTTAACTTTGGGATAAATGGAGAGGAGAGAAAAACGTGAATATCTCGGAAATTAGATGCGACAAAGTGGGCCCTTTTCACGTGGACGTACACATATAATTGGACTGAAATTTATAGAAATTTTTAATTTGCAATGACGAAATTCCTTGAAATTTCCGTATTACGGCAACGCTATAAAAATTCCCAATAAGTTCCCGGAATTTCTGCGAAAATATTACTGAAACTTACAGACATCATTCCTGATTTCAAGACATTCCTTTGATTTTCAGGATCATGTCACTAGAAATTTTTTACAAAATGACTTAATTTTAACATTGCTTGCTCATTGCATTTCAGAAATGCAGCTGCCTAAAAAAGACACATCGATTCCTAGGAACAACGTTTTTTTTTCTCGGTAAATACAGACAATAGAGAAATGTCAGAGTACAGTGAATAAACTTCACTCGTCAAAAACTCCATAATGGCAGAGTTAAATTCCCTGATTTTTTTTCACTCTCGATTAATTTTTTAAAGATTCAAATTGATACTTAAGTATCAATTGATTCATTCACATCGTTCCATTCCATCGGGAGATATTGTCGATTGGAGACAATTTTTTATGGTCACTGAAGAATGCAAACCATTCATTTAAATCTCGCAATAATCTGCGAAAAGTCTCATTCGTTAATCTATTATTATTGATTTAATCCCATTATGTGTATGAGATTTGTTGAGATATAATCTCTCACAAATATTGAATATATTTCTCATCAAAATAATTTGAAATTCATTCATTACCTTTGTATCACTGACAAAATATGTAATAAATGTGAATAAGATGAATTGCTCGTATTTTTTTTTTATTAAAGATCTAGTTGTATAGAAATTCAAATAAATGATCCTCTTTCGCTCAAGACTTCATAATTCCTTCTCTCCCTCTCCTTTATGATCAACTAATTTACAAATTAAGACAATAAGAAGTTGTATGAACGAAAATGGGATAATCAAGCGGATGAGTGAATGCAAAGGAGGTTTCATGTTGGATTTAAGATTGGGAACGCATCCCTGTTATCGACTGTTTCCATGGTAATAGATGAAAATTTTTTTACCCACAGAGACGGCCTCTCGATTAGTTCATGCGTGCCACCGCTATGAAACTCTGATCGAACAGTTCCCATAAGCCTGAGCAATCTCCCCTATTATCTCTGCTGGCACTGGCTGGCACGACCTCCCCTCCCATGAGAGTACGATTCCTGCAGCATTTCTCTTCCCACTCTCAGCACTGCAGAATAAGGATAAGTAGGGACCAAGTGCATCTTTCTCTGCCTAAACCTATACAGCTTCCCCCATCACATGCGCGGTCTAGGTATTATATGTCTATGAGAAAAGTTTGGTTATATATCGCTTCACGTGTAAAGAGACTGCTGAAGAGTGCCGAGCTACCATTACCTAGTTATAATGTTCAGCTCTCATTAGTTACACAACAAATTCGTGAAAAACCGGTGAACAAACCTTTTTTCAGTGCGAAAAATCGCTTACAAAATCTTTTAGAATCCTCAACAATCGTTCGAAGTGATTCAGAAGAGATGACACCATTGGAATTAGTGGAAATTCAGTAACGAAAAAATTACGTCCACTCATGCGGTTCTGTTTGCGGTCTGACTACACAAGCTTGAATATTATCCATCAATTACCAATTAATCGTTTGAAAAAGCAAAACAACTATCAACAATGTTGCGTTACGGTGCACTTCTCACCCGCAAGTCCCCCCTCACCACGAACATCTCCTTAAAAATAAAACTCTCACGTGAGTCAACACGAAAACAAATTCTCATTCACTCACCACCGAAAATTCGACCCACCCAGGAATTCCACACATATCTCCCAAGACTATCTCCAGTGGCGACAAAAGACAGTGAAGATACTCGCAAGCTCAGAATTCAAAGTCTCTTCGATGAAAATGAGCACTGGAACTTCACCAAAGATGATGCAACTGAAAACAAAGAATTATCTGAACCTCACGAGACTTCCAATCCTTCATCGACTCCAACGCTTCACCACGTGCGTCTGAAGGACAAGTACAGTATCACAGATATCGAACGAATGTACAAGCAGCCGAAGGCAAAGATCAACGAGGTCTATCACATTGTAACGAACCAGCTTCAGAAGAAATGCTTGGACTTCAAATACACAACGATGGGAAAGAAAACGTCCAAGTGGAACTGCACAGTTAATGTCATCTGGCCAGAAGAGTTGTCCTTCTCTGCTGTTGCCAACACCAAGCCCCTGGCTGCTCACTCAGCCTCACTGAAGCTTCTGCACTACCTTGAGAACCAGAAGAAAATCCGAGATGGAAAACCGATACTCTATAGTGCTACGGATATAAAAGAAATGTCGAGTAAGCCAGTGGCTTTGAACATCACAAGAGAAGCTTTGGATGAAGTCAACTTCATTGTGGAGAAATATGAGAGTGAAATCAGGGACCTGCTGGAAAGCTTCGAAGCAGAAGCTCACGCAGAGTCGGCGTCTTCGAAACATTATGAGTCTTGCTTCCAGACTGGGGCTATCATAGATCCAGTGGGCAAGTCCAATCCCTTGAACAGAATGCCAGGAAAAATCGCAGACCGAAACAGAGTTCTCTTGGCTCGGTATGAAGACAGAGTTTTGAGTAGCCCACCCTCGGATTTACCAATCATTAACTACCGAGACAAGATCATTCAAGAGATTGAAAACAATCAGGTATGAGATCTCATATTGTGTATCGGTTATAGGGGGGGGGGGGGCAATGTGGACACCAGATTTATGGGTAGGCTACTATGAGTTTTAAAAGTCGGGCTATTGGAGTGCGATTTCTCATGCATTGGAGATCGATTATATATGACGTGGTTGGCTTCCGGATGGATGCCGCGTTGAGTTTCAGCATTGCGCCGACGTTTCGCAAACATTGATCAGCTGGTCAATTAAAAACATATGATTGGCTGACCCCCCCCCC